AGAGGTGTAGTAGCTTGCCCGGCTACTTCCCTCTTCTCGAAAAAGTCTTAAATGATAAAAGTACCTAATTTTAATTAAAAGTAAATAATTTCAGCTGTGGTTAGTTTGTCAACTGCTTGGTTCTTGACAAAAACTGCTTGATACTTGTTCAATACGTTGCAGGCAGGTATCTATTAATTTCTACATTTTATGCCATATTTGAACGAACTCATACCGAAATACTTATGCCTAACATCAAAAGATTAAAGACACTCTTGATTAAATGTTATCTTGAAAACCAAGTTTACGGGTTTTCACAGAAAACGCCTTTATAAATTATTAGGTTGCGTCCCTTTAAAGAATGAAACATTGCGCGTTGGGAGAGTTGAGGCAGGTTCAGTGCGAAGACAATGTCTTGAATCGTTACAGAAGTCCACTGTGCGTGGAGTCACCTTTATTTTTGTTCCGGGACACGCAGGTGTCGATGGAAATGAAAGAGCTGATAGGCTGGCTTGATTGGATCCTCTATCACTACCGACGGTCATTAGAGAAGAGAATCCTGTTGCTGTTAATGCAGAGGTCAACGCTCTCATCAGTGTAAATTCAGACGAAACAGATGCACTAAATCTACACAGACGGATCCGTTATACGCTCACCCTTTTTCCCCAACAAAAGCCCATGGGCATTCACAGCACGCTCAGCGGGCAGAACAGTCAAAAAAGCCAACTGCGCCTTCTCCATGACAACCAGCAGCATGACGATGGAGGTGATGGTAGTGACGCAAGTGTTCGCCTGACTCGAAACACAGAAACTACACCCGCGTATGTATACTCAGTGATTCAATGAGTATGATACGGAGGGTTCAGTGCGAAGACAATGGCTTGAATCATTACAGAAGTCCACTGTGCGTGGAGTCACCTTTATTTTTGTTCCGGGATACGCAGGCGTCGATGGAAATGAAAGAGCTGATAGGTTGGCTGGATCCGCTATCAATGCCGACCGTCGGCCTATGGATCTTCTTCTTCTGCCTTTCTATCCCCCAATGGAGCATAAGCCCTAAACCAAATGACGCCAAGTCGTTCTATCCTTCGCCATTGCATGGAGCTCTCCCCACGTACTCCCCATCTTTCTAACTTCATTCTCCAACTCTCTTCTCCATGTTTTTCCCCTTCCTTTATTGTTATGCCCCTGTGGGTTCCAGTGCAAAGACATTCTGGTTATGCTGTTCTCCTGTTTTCTCAGTGTGTGTCCAATCCAGCGCCAGAGTCTTTTCTTCACCTCTTGTTCCACTGGAGCCTGTTTAGTTCTCTCCCAAAGCTCTACATTAGTTTTTCTATCATACCACCTTATTCCCTCTATTCTGCGCAGGCTCCGGTTAAGGAATGTATGTAATTTATTACGTTGGAGGGGGGGGGGGGGGGTGGGTTAGGTAATCTTGGTAGTTTGCATAAGCCGTTGCTCAGTTTTGGGGCTACTTTTGAATACTTTGTAGTAGATAATTATGAAGCTTGTTTAATGCCTTTGGAGGTAAAACTCAAAGTATAGAAAAACAGTATCCTTAGCTTATCTCAGTTGTCCCCATGTGGGATTTGAAGCCTCACACCGGCTTTTGCTGAGGGTCCTGAACATAGCTGTATCATTAATATGGCCCAAAAAAAAAAAAAAAAAACAGAAAGAGGTTTCTGTGACATCTCCAGGTATGATCCTCATCCGCATGGTGACACTTTGTGTCACCGGGTGTTTATCGCTTGGTAGATGTCGTGGTGGGGTAAAATGTCACTCATTAAGAACACAATTTATCCTTATTTTAAAGCCCCACCCCGGCTGTAGTGGTGGACCCTAATGTACCTTAGCGATTGAAGGGAGTTTCTGTGACTTGTGTCCGAGTGATCCTTATCCGAGTGGCTGCACTTTGTGTCACCAGGTGTTGTACTGCCTTTATGGGGTTGAACGACACAAGACTTAATAAGAATTTGGAAAAAACCAATGTGAAAGTGACTCCTGTGAAGTAAATGATGCTGACCATACAACCCCACAAGTGCTGATTGGTCTATAAAAGTATCGGTCTAACCCTATATGCCTGAAGAAGTGGAAAAGATTAATTTAGGAAAAAAGGTAGGGGGGGGGGAGGGGTAATTTTGTGTGAAAGTAACTTAAAAAGTTAGTTTCAGATCAGATTTAATCTGTGAAATTTTCATTCACAAGGTTGAATTCTAATTGTTAACCTTCAAACCCCTTCTTCAATAACACCCCCCCCCCCCCCCCCCCCCCCCCAAAAAAAAAAAAAAAACTTGTTGTGTGTGCGTCTTCGCCCCTGACTAGAAGGGATGTTTGTGTGTGTGAGGGGGGGGGGGGGGGGGGGGGAGGGCGAGAAGTTCCAGGAAAATACAGAGACCAGAATCAACTGGGATGTCTATATTGATGCGATGATGAGAGACAACAGTAAGACAACCGGACAACAGTGGCTCCAGGATGACATACTGAACTTCACTGTCTGGTTTGTTTTAAATTAAATGTTGGATTCGTGTGCTTATACATGTGATCAGTAATTGTAAATTCTGTTCCTGGTTTTTAATACAGTCGAGTCTGGATAAGTAGAAGTCGCAGGGACCTAAGAAAATGCTTCCATTTATCAGGACTTCTACTTATCCAGGCAGCACACACAATAGAGAAAATTGCCGGGACTAATCTGGTCATGTCGACTTAACCGAAATTCGACTTATCCAAGTTCGACTGTAGTTTTTTTTATTCCATTTTGACATCAGCTGGAGGGAGTTCAATGGTTTGACAGAATCACGAATGTTGAGCTTTGGGGTAGAACTAAACAAATTCCAGTGAATCAAGAGGTGCAGAAAAGATTATGGCGTTGGATACAACACACGTTGAGACAACCTGGGAAAGATTTAAGTACAATGCCTATGCAATGGAATTCACAAGGGCATAGAAATCAAGGTAGATCATAAGACATCACATGGAAAAGGGAGATAGAGGATGATGAAGTTGAAAGAGAGGCGGGAGGGGGGGGGGGGGCAAGGGGTTAGCTGCATAAAGTAACAAAGGACATGACAGCCTATACTCCATGGAGGAGAGGAATAAAGGACAGAAGAAGTGAACAGAAAGTAACTAAAGGACCCATGTCACACCCATTTCCCACTCGTGGCAGGTCAGCCATATGGTACTAGACCCATAGTTTCACAGACCAACTGGCGCTGAATATGTGAAATGGTCAGCATCATGTCGGCCACCTTTACCTCTCAGGCCATTTCCTGGCACCATTTGTAAGCCTGATCAACCTGGGAGACTAGATCAATTCTAAACATTGGATGAGCATTTGAATCCAAGACCTTCAAGATGCTTGCTACTCCGCATGGACCTTACCTGTCTCCACCTTTCTCAGCATGCTTTGTGAGTCACTTAAAATGACGACAAGTGTATAGAGGGAGAATAAAACAGGAAGAGACCCACTCCCTCTTAACAGGCGTATCCTACAAGGCGACTAATTAAGGATCTGCTGAAATCAGATGTGCTGAAAAGAAAAGCACAAATATCTCCGCCTTGCTGTAAACCATGCAACGTGCCATACCGCTCTTTATAAAGAAAAACACAGAAGAAGAAATCTGCCGCATATTTTACTTTTCAACAGTCCAGATCTTGCTTACTTATTATGTTTCAAAACGTGACCGTGACATGGAGGTTAAGTCTAGCCACTCCAATGACAGTCCATTTATTCATTTCAGTTATCTGCCTTTAAATAAATTTGTTTCGAATGAAAAGCCTTTGACATTATATAAACTGCGAATAAATAAAAGTAAACATTTTAAGAACACACTGGTTGATTGATATAAAGAGGTTTGTAATGAGAAGCTTCATGTACCCGATAAACTGAGATACTGATATATAAAGGGTTGTAATGAGAAGCTTCATGTATCGGATAAACTGAGATATTGATATATAAAGGGTTGTAATGAGAAGCTTCATGTATCCGATAAACTTAGATATTGATATATAAAGGATTGTAATGAGAAGCTTCATGTTCCCGATAAACTGAGATATTGATATATAAAGGGTTGTAATGAGAAGCTTTATGTATCCGATAAACTGAGATATTGATATATAAAGGGTTGTAATGAGAAGCTTCATGTATCCGATAAACTGAGATATTGATATATAAAGAGAGTTGTAATGAGAAGCTTCATGTACCCGATAAACTGAGATATTGATATATAAAGGGTTGTAATGAGAAGCTTCATGTACCCGATAAACTGAGATTGGATATATAAAGGGTTGTGATGAGAAGCTTCATGTACCCGATAAACTGAGATATTGATATATAAAGGGTTGTAATGAGAAGCTTCATGTAGCCGATAAACTGAGATATTGACCTATTTTGAGTAGAAGAGAGCAGTGTAGGCAGAACAATCCATCCATCAGCAGGTTCTTTGCAGAAAGTCATTTGCTTGATGGCATGCTTGAATGCCTCTCTGTCTCTACCCAATTCTTCTGCACTATGTGCATTTATGGCCAGTGCATTTTCAATGTGCTGTATCCACCTTCGTGGAGGTCTGTGTTTGCCTTGTATGGATTCTGGGTCCTATTATGGTACAAAAAGGAGTGGGGTGGGGGAATAGATCCACTGCCACCTAATAAGCATGTCATAGAAGGTTTTCCCTTTGAAGTTGAAGTGCATCTGCATAAAAGGTAAGGAACCAATAGTCTGCATATACATAAGCCAGATCTGTAAAACGGATGTGCATGAAAAACTCTAGTTCTGGAAAAAGATTAAAGTCCAAACGTAGACAGACAATGAAAACCTTCCAGCAGCTTGTAGCTGGTGAAAGTTAAGGAGAAAAAGAAGATTTCCAGTCCTGGCCTCATTTGGTGACAAAATATGGAAATGTCAGCAAACTCAAGTTCACTGCTGCTGTTTGTAAAGTCAGATTGATCTCTGATGGTGAATGAAGAATTCCTGACTTGACTAAGACAATACTTAATCCAATCCTATTATTGGTGGTTACATTTATTTATAATTCATTTGTTGTTTCCTTTTTATCCAAAACATCTGGCTTGAAGTGGAGGCACACGCTGTTTATGCAATATCTCAATCCAGTTGGTGGAGGACCATCATCAAATACATGACCCAGATGGGCTTCACACTGAAAGAAACAGAATCAATTTCACATCTCAGCCCACACAACTGTTTTTTCTTGTTGTCTGGTTGTGTGTGTGTGTATTTGATTTTTTTTCAAATCTGATTAAAAAAAATAGGTTACAGTAAGGAATTTTGATGTTCATAGATCTTGGCACAAGATAAACAAACCAGAATTACCAAAAATATTAAATGGCATGCAAAAATAAATCAAAAATGCTTTGTGTTTTTTAAAGATAGAATCTTTCAACTCCTGTGGCTTTTAATGCATTAGTAAAGATTCTACGTCTGTGTCAGTGAACCATGTGTATAACCATATCTCTAATGTCTGCAAGGTCTTATGTCTCATTTTTCTGTCAGTAAGATCATTCCCTAGTCTCTATAGGCAACAAGCTCTTGCATGACTCTCTAATGTATTTCCCCACACTATAATGTCAGCAAGTTTATTCTTTGGTCTGTACTTTCAGCAGTCATTCCCCTCTTTTAACTATAATCAAGTACTTTCTCTACTCCACTGTCAGCAAGGTCTTCTATTCTCTCTACTGTCAGTAAGGTCTCCTATACTCCACTGTCAGCAAGGTATTTTATACTCTCTACTGTCAGTAACCAATACACAAATAAGGCAAGAATCCAGGCAAGAGTATGTGTCTAATTTTATACGAAAACGCCGCTGGAACTATGTCGGTCACGCCCTTAGAATGGATAAATTAAGACTTCCTTACCAAGCCCTCATTTGGACACCACAGGGGAAAAGATCTCGTGGAAGACCAAGGGAAACCCTACGTAGAACTATCATCAGGGAAGGCTCACTCATGGGCCACTCAAACATCCAAGACCTACAACAGATTGCAACGAACCGCCATGCATGGAGAGTCATGACCTCTGCCCTATGTGCTGCACTCGACACAAGAGGAAAGACTAACTAACTAACTAACTAACTAACTGTCAGTAAGATCTGCCACACTCCACTGTCAGCAAGGTCTTTTATACTCTCTACTGTCAGCAAAGTCTTCCTCAGCTTTCTGCTGTGCCTTTCCCTGCTCTCTGCCGTCAGCAAGATAGTGAATTTCCTATGGAAGTTACAAAACATTTGGCCTGCAGCAACAAAGAAAATTGGGGTAGAGATCATAGATTAAATTGACAGCAAAAACCTCAGAAAAGGCTGAAAATCTTATTTGAGACAGAAGCATGTGGAGACACATCACACAGGGTGCTGACTGGGAAAGAGATTATTTTCTTGCACATTTAAAATTAACCCCCTGGCAGAAGGGATGTGAATATTGCAGTACTTAACAACCTGTATAATATCCTACCTTCCCACATCTGACTTCTGTTCGTGTCATACCATGACTTGTGTCAGTGTGTGTGTCAATCGCCAGGAGATTCGGCACATCTTTGTCCTTCAAAACATCAAAAAATGAAGGCCATCCTGTTCCAGAATGGAATTTGGTTGAGGAACTTTGTTTCAGAAAACAAAACACAATAATTATTTTGGGTTGTAATTAAAATCTTCATCACACTTAACAAATGATTGTGTAGCATCAGAAAAATAAGGTGGTGACACAGATATCAGTGGGCTTGTCAGCCAAGACAATGGTCTAGATTCCATTTCCAGAGTCAGTTTTTTTTTCTGCAGGAACTCTGAGTCAAACCAAAGTAAGTTGGTAAAGGCCCTTTTTCTGTGCCCTCATGTGTACTGAGCAAAAAGTACTAGATAGATGTTTTATAGATCAATCAGCACTTGACGAGTGTTAAGGTGAACATCAAGCTGGCTACTTTTACTTCTAGGGACTTTGCTAGAATCAACCCAGCCTCATAAAAATGGGAGCCAGACAATTTTCAGAATTTCCTGGACATTATGTTTGAAGGATAGATGAGTGGAAAGGAAGTGGACACCCCACTTCAGTAGACTGTAATCTACAATATGTTATGATATGTATATTTGTTTCTAATTGTATGCTCCAAGAGCTGTACTGAAAGAGAATTTTTTTTTTTAACTAAAAAAAAATTTTTTTTTTTTAAACACAATTTGCTAGGTTTTGGCTTATCAAATTTCTTGTCATGGTCCATGGTCTGTGGCGTTGGTAGTCTTGTCTATCCATAACTGTCTGTACTGAGTACTTTCAGTAGATTCAGACACAAATGATCGTCTGTGTCATGGTGTAAAACTGTTCAGCATCTATTCTCTCTGTCTCTTTTCCTCTCCAACTTTCTCATTATCATGATGTTCTCTATTCTCTTCTTCTTATGAGATGAACAAAGAGATAGACTGTCTCCTTCTAATCAGCTCTCTTCATGAGTCAGTTTCTTTGAAGACATCTTCATTACTCATTTTATCTGTCCAGGGTATTCTCATCATGTGTCTATAGCAAACTAGAAAAACAAAAAGGTGATGTCCATTTTCAATGCTTCCATTTCTAATTGCAGGAGGAGAAGCTTAAAGTCATAAAAGACTGTTACGAAATAAAAAAAATTATATTTGAAATATGATTTGTTAAACTGTAAATTATAGTATTAAAAATGCATCATGTATTCCTGTATAATTTATGAGAGAGACAGAAAGCAATAGGCTAGAGGAAATGGTTAGAAATAGATACATTTTGGTTGAATCATCTAAAATTTGTTTATCAGTTCTGTTCAACATTTTTCTAAAATTTACTATCCTAATTATCAAATTTTTCTCTTCTGATACACTCACATTCAACAGTATATATTAGAGCAACAGGAAATAATTACTTCCCCGAAGGGAAAAGTTGTTATATTAACCAACACAGAACAGGCATCATCAGCTGTTTTATGTTTGTAGTGCTTTTTAGGAGTAGATTGGAGCACTTATGGATCTGTCCCGAGGCTATGATGATAATCACCATTAATCACTAATAGAGAATATGCATATTTTCTACTGTCTTTGTTTACTATTCATAAAAAACACACCAAAAAGCAGTGTTGTAAGCCCTATGTATGAATAACTCTCTGTATTAATGAGATTCAACCCCACCAGGACATCCACCGAGCGATAAAAACCCGGTGACACAAAGTGCCACCATGCAGATGAGGATCACCCATTGAGAGGTCCCAGGAATCCTGTTCAATATTGGTTACATTGGAGAGAGTAAAATTCAACTTTATCAGGACATCCATCAAGCGATTAACACCCGGTGACACAAAGTGCCACCATGCAGATGAGGATCACCCAGGAAGATATCCCAGAAACCCCATTCAACCGTTAGGTTATATTAGGGCCCCCAGCTACAGCCGGGGTAGGGCTTTAAAATAATGAAAAATTGTGTCCCATATCAAGACAGTAGATGTAAATAATAACTCACTGCTTGCTTGCTTGCTTGTTGTACCCCACCAGGACATCCCACAAGCGATAAACACCTAGTGACACAAAGTGCCACCATGTGAATGAGGATCACCCGTGGAGAGGTCCCAGAAACCCCTTTCAGCTGTTACGGCCACATTTGTGGCCCAGCTATATTCAGGGCCCTCGGCCAAAGCCAGGGTGGTGCTTAAAATAACATAAAATTGCATCCCACAAAGGGACAATGGTATTCTAATAACTCACTGAAAAAGCTCTGTACCACAGCAAGCACAGGTGTATACCCCTTTCTCTTTGTTTGTCAGCCATTTTCCTGACCCAGCCTGTCAACAAATAAAAGTTTCAATCATATAAATGACTCCACACAAAAAAAATACAATCAGGGCTTTTTTTATGGTAGTATGCAATGGTATGAAAAACAGCACCTTTTCAAGGCAACTTTTTTTTAGAATAACTATAATAGATACTTTGTAGTGAGTACTGGCACTTTGTAGTGAGTACTGGCACTTTGTAGCGAGTACTGGCACTTTGTAGTGAGTACTGGCACTTTGTAGTGAGTACTGGCACTTTGTGGTGAGTACTGGCACTTTGTAGTGAGTACTGGCACTTTGTAGTGAGTACTGGCACTTTGTAGTGAGTACTGGCACTTTGTAGTGAGTACTGGCACTTTGTAGTGAGTACTGGCACTTTGTGGCGAGTACTGGCACTTTGTAGCGAGTACTGGCACTTTGTAGCGAGTACTGGCACTTTGCAGTGAATACTGGCACTTTGTAGCAAGTACTGGCACTTTGTGGTGAGTACTGGCACTTTGTAGCGAGTACTGGCACTTTGTGGTGAGTACTGGCACTTTGTAGCGAGTACTGGCACTTTGTAGTGAGTACTGGCACTTTGTGGTGAGTACTGGCACTTTGTAGCGAGTACTGGCACTTTGTAGTGAGTACTGGCACTTTGTAGTGAGTACTGGCACTTTGTAGTGAGTACTGGCACTTTGTAGTGAGTAGCTCCACTTTTTTTCCCCCCAAAAAATGCTATTAATACAATTATATTAGTTATTGTTTTTTTAGATGTGTAAGTAGCAACTGACCAAACAAGTGAGAAGGCTTGGTTCTCATATGAAAGACCCAGGTTCAGATTCTCAGTAAAGTCATGGATTTTTTCCGTCGGGACCAAAAATATTAAATCCCTGCCTACACTGCAAAAGTGGCAAATACAGGTAGTAATAGGCAGTTTTGTTCCTGAAGTGTGCAATATTTTAGACTGGCTACTAATATATGAGTATATAAGTATTATATAAGTATAAGAGTATATAAGTGTATGTGACCTTTGGCATCAGACAGGGCACCACAGAGAGCAATGTTATTCAGATACAACAGAAACACAGCCAGAGGTCGACCACACAGAACAGGGACCGCAGAAATATCAGAGACACTGAAAAGCACTTTATACAGAAAGGCCTGTTTCAAATATTTCATTCTGCCCTGACTCCGAAAAGCATTCCAGAAGTAGAGAAAAGAAGAAGAATACGATAAGTGTATTATCCCTTTCTTATATTGTACTTATACCGATATAATCCTGTTTAACCCATCTTGTTTACAGCTGGGAGCTGGGTAGTTTGGGAATAATTTTTTTTTCCAACTCATTAACGTGAAGTTCCGATGATTTAAGTCATAAAAAAGACGTGTTTCTATTTGAGTGAGCCTTGCTATGCTGACTTGATACCCAGATCACTTTAAATATTCCAGAAGATAGATAGAAAACACAATAAGATTATCACAATTATTTTAAAAAATGCACTTAAAATAAATGAAACTGAACAATCTATACTCATACAATCTATACAATATTAAACAACCAAAAGTAATTGGAAAGCATATATTCCAATATCAAAATTTAAAAAAACTATATTTATATATCAATATTAGAACCCAGATCATCATCATCAAGGGCCTTGCCAGCTGGCGTACATGTTTATACATCTCCACAGATCTTGTTCTTTGGTGTTCTGGATCAATTCCGCTAATGATATTCCTTCATGCAACTGTCTTAAGCCATCACCATTAATTTGTGTCGATCTGCTTCTGTCTCTTCTACCAGTGATCTTTCTAGACATAATGATATTTTTCAATGCCCCTTTTCTCATCACATGACCAAAGAAATTTTTTTTGTCTCCTTCTCATTGTTGTATATTATGTTTTAATTTATTTAGCTATTTCCAGGTAATTATTGTTAGTTATTCTGGCAGTCCAAGGTATTCAAAATATGCTTCTCAAAAACTACTATAACCCAGATAGGTATTTAACAGTTTATCATTGTTTAAATTACTACTGCTATAGCTTTGTCCCAAATCCATAGGCTCAGAGTGGAGAGCTCCACTACACCTCTATAGGGTCACAAACCAGCAAACTTTGAAAAATCGTTACTGATACTTCATGTCTGTAAAAAAGACTATATTATTTTTAGACATTACTCATTCTTCTGCCTGTTCTCTCACTGGCTCTGTGTTCACTGTATTTCTTCAGTGTGGCTCTCCATGGCTGTTGGTAGCTGGGCAGATGGCCAACCCATCTTATTTGTTACTCTTTAATAAACTGTATCATTTCAGTCCTTGTCTTCTAACTTCCTAATTGTTTTAATTTTATCTTTTTTTGTTACTCTGCTAGCTTTACTAAGACATCACATCTCTGTTATGAGTTTTGAGCTTATTAGTGTAAGGATCAATTTGACTTGTAGCATAGGGTTGGGAAAAAAAAGTTATTTTATTTGCCTTGGCAGTCAAAGATATGCATCTGTTAAAGGTTATTTGTAAAAAAAAAAAAAAAAAAGTAGTGTTAGTTCCCCTAGCACCTCATTTGCTTTAGCACATCTTGAGCTGATTTCTTTACATACTTTTCTTCTAATGTAAAAAAGTTACTGTAGATTAGATCAGATGTTTAAACTCCCTTTTTTTCTATGAGAGGACGAATCAATAGTCACTCGATGCTTGTAAATTTCATATATTTATTTAAAATGTTATCTTTATCTATTCAGTTTTATTCTATACTTCTGGTATAACTTCATAAGTACTCAATTTTTCTCTATAAATAGTTTATAAACAGTCCATTTACTGAATCCATAAACGGAATTGATCGTTCAGATAAGAACATAAATCAGTGTGAGTAAATAATAATAATAAATATTACAATAACGAAATAAGCAACACATCTAATTACTATACTATTCTTTCAGTCTTTGTTAGTGTCATTTATTTTAAATTTAATTTAATTACAATTGCACCCCAAAAAAAAAATGCTCAAATGTTGAATTAACTATTATTAACCTTTTCGGTTCCACTCTTCCTACACACATTGTATTCTTCATCGGCCAGCCTTTTCTTCCATTCTTTGTCTGACAGAATTATTTTGCCTGGTCTTGTTGGATGTGTAGAAGCCGCCTGGTCCGACAAACAAAAGCTTGCAATCAAGATGATACTACGAACACAGAAATATTTATTTCTCATTGTCTTCTATACGTTACATACTAGCTGGGTTGCCAGATAAAAAAAAAAAACATTTCATTTTATGCCAAATCATTACCCAAAATATGCCAGAAAATGCCAAATAAAATGTAACATTGTACTCGCTTCACATGAAAGGCTCTAGATTAAATATTTCACTGTCATCTTCACTGGAACAAGTGGAAGACACAGCGTAAACCTTTTCGGATTTAAAATCTTTTAACATTTTCTCAGCTGGGATGAAGTCTTTGCAACTCAACTATGATGATAGCATATTTCTTGCTCCGAAAATCATCAATAAACCTTATAAGGCCATCCTTAAGTGCAGGCGATATAATATTTTTCATAAGGCAAGAACATTTAGTTATTTGCAACTGTATGTGCTCCAATGTACTCCCCCGACCATGTGCTCTCATGATTTCACTTAGATGATCAATTGTGCGTATTGCAAAAATGGCAGGTCATGCCTACAGCAAGTTGTAGCTCTGCTGCCTTTAACTTTATCAGTACTTTGCCTAGAAGTCATTGTTGTAATCAGCTGTGACTGGCTTTTTGGCGGAGTTTTCATCTAGTTTTTCTGATTTTTCCTGATTTGATATGCTACTAATTCTTGGTGCAACAGTGCACTGACACAGTTTGCAAAATGCTGCCTCTGATCCATCTGAAGATCTTTTAAGCCGTGGATATGCTTTCTTCCAGTTACTATTATACTTGTGATGTCATAAGATGCTTTCCATTTCTTTGGAAGACGTGGCGTTTGGTAAAAGTAAAATCTTTCACAGAACTAGGTCTTTATCCTCTCTATTTTCTGTCCTCAAGTAGTTTCTGAACAGTGTGAATCCCTTGGTATCAGTGTGGGTTTTGGTTTTAAATCCCGCATTTATTTTAGTAGATTAAGATAAATCACAGAGGGCTTTGGTTTATCGAAGTCACGATCCGTTTAGGAAGACAACAAATACAATAAGAAATGGCGCGAATCTCCGTTAGTCAGTAACAGGACATCACAACAAAGTTTAACTGAAATAAAGTCAAACTGAAATAAAGATGTTAACTGTAGGTCTACGTTGCTTTTTAGTAAATCTGCGTGTTTCTAACGGAGGAACCATGAAGCAAATATGAGCACATCTTGATAAGAGAAGCCAGAAAAAAAAAAAAAAACCAAATATGCCAAAATATGTCAGTTCATTTTCACATGTCGTTTAAATTTCAAATATGCCAAATTTATAGAATCTGGCGTCAAAAATGCCAACATGGCAACCCTGCATAAGAGCAAAATCTGCCGGTTTAGCGTTTTTTTTTTTTTAAGACCTTGTCTAATTTAGGGTTAAGTCCACTTTGTTTGGTACTATATGGGAGATTGATTACCAGCAAGGACTCTGATGCGCGAGACAAGGGTTCGACCCCTCGATAAGGTTGGGGATTTTCGGTGGGAGTAGAAATAAAATCCTAACCTGCACAGCCCGTGGCGTCAGCACTAGCCATGCTGCCCTAAATCCGCAAGATCCCTGTCTACACAGCAAAGTGGTGAATAAGTAGTGACCGTTTTATTAAATAGTAGATATTATTTATCAGACTGAGAAAGAGAAGATGAATTTAAAATAATAAAAGAAATTTTAAGGAGACATTAAATAGTTTAACAATATTGTAAGGCAACAGTCATAAAAATATACATGTTCAAGACTTTTTCTCAAAATAACCTAAACTATTTAGGCTTTGTATTGATCTTTTTTTCCTCCTCTCCTTCTCCCCTTTGTTCTTCATATTCTTCTGCTTCTTCTTCGTCTTTTTCTTCTTCTTCTTCCTCTTCTTCTTCTACTTCTTCTTTTTCTTTTTCTTCTTCTTCTTCGTCTTCTTCTTCTTCTTCTTCTTCTTCTTCTTCTTCTTCTTCTTCTTCTTCTTCTTCTTCTTCTTCTTCTTCTTCTTCTTCTTCTTCTTCTTCTTCTTCTTCTTCTTCTTCTGCATTATGTAATATTCATTTTGACGATGGGTATATTTCACACACACACACACACACACACACACACACACACACACACAAGATGTAAGGGTAATATTTTTATACATTTAATTGACTCAGATCTTCAGTTCTGATCAAGGTATTGATTGGATAACAGAAATATAGATACTGTATACAGTCGACATATTGGCGATGCTTAAGGTTGTATTGTTCTATTTTGATCCGTAGCTGAGCATAAAGGAGGCCCCTCTGATGGAGGAAATTAATTGATATTTCTATTAACTCGACGTTTGATACGTTGCATTGTATGATCATAGAAAACGGTGCACCTGTTATTTTCTCAGGATCATATCATTTTCTCAGTATCATTTCTGCTTCTACCTTAATACCTTGCTTACAGTTGTGTCGTTATATTTAACCTTACGACATTCTTGACTAAAATGCATTGTCAAACTCATTCATCATCGTAATTATCGGCAAAACATTATCTATCACACAGCTTGGTGACTCTTTCACTGTCAGTGTCAAATCTTTCCCTGGCCTTGTCATGTCAGAACTGTCTATCTTAACTCTTTTACCATCGGTCAACTTGTCAACTCTTTTACTGAAGTACAATTTCCGAGCTTGTTCACATCGACCAACCTGTCAAGTCCTTCAGTAGCGGTCATCTTCCTAACTCTTTCCTAATCGACTTTCATATTTGCAACTTTGTAAATGTTGGTCGACTTGTACACTTTTTTACTGTGGCGTACTTTTCAAATTTTTTTCCAACAGCCGTCAAATTGCCCTTCTTCTTTTTCCTCTTTCGTTAGCCTGAAATAAGTTGTCTATATCAGCAATTTTGTTTCACTGTCGTTGTTAGTTCATTCAGTGCTCCATAGAGTTGACCTTCCACTGTTATTCTTTCTGGCCAAAAGGTTTGCCTTAATGTGTTAAATTCGGTGCAGTCCTGGAGTACATGCTCTGCTGTCTGGGGCACCTTGCCACAGGTGCACATGGCTGATACGCCTATATTGAATTTTGTGTACATGTGGTTACGTAATCGGTTGTGCCCTATTCTGAGGCGGAGGATAATGACTTGGTCTGGTCTGTCCATAATAAAATATTCTGGGGCTGGTGGTTTCATGACTGACTTAATGATTCTTTTCTTTCGGTGATATGTGACTGGTACATCCGGCTGCACTTTTGTCACACCTTTCCCTGCCAGTTGATCAGCTTTCTCATTTCCAGGCACTCCAGAATGAGACGGTATCCACTGCATTACGACTCTTCGCTGAAGGCTGAGTTGTGTCAGCAGTGTTTGCAATTCTGGTAGTTTCCTAGACTGGAGTGCTTCAAGCACGGATTTTGCATCTGTCAGCATCACCACATACTGTGAGACGAGATTGGTATTTAGCAGTTTCTCTATTGCTATCTTGATAGCCTGAGTTTCTGCATCATAGTTATGGCAGTACTTTCCGGTTGGTACGCTGGACTTATCTCTAGTACCATCTGGGAATTCTATATACACTCCAGCACCACCGTTTCTAGCTGCACTTTGTACGGACCTATCTGTATAGACTCTGACCCATAGTTATTTTGGGTATTCTTTATCAGTAGAACTGAGGGTGGCTATTCTGCGTTGTACACTATCTTGTTCTTTCTTGTCAAATATTCCTTTCACATTTGTCTGGATTTGTACTGTTAGTTTGCATTTTTCTCTCCGTGGGGTTTGTTCTGGAATACTTTTAAGCGGACAACCAATTTCTGGAAGGTCAGTAGTTTTATCTACATATTCTTTTTGCTTGGTGTATAAAGCTGCTTCTTTTTAACTTTCCCAAGGCTAGGTCCTGAAATCTATTTTTCATGGGGTGATCTGGCATACTGAGGAACTTCTCAGCTGGTATTTGCAACTTTATATATTTGCGTTTTCTCAGTGCCTGTATTCTCCCAGCTTTCAAAATGTCTAATATGGGGGTTGATTTCATCCCGCCTGTGATGACTCTGAGCGCTTGATTTTGCACTTTGTCAAACTCCTTTAATGTGGTGCTAGATGTTGAACACCATGCAGTTGACCTATATTCCAAGTTTGGCTGTATGCTCTGCTTGTATACTTTATTATTTTCCTACTGGCCCCCCATGTGGTTCCACTTAGGTTTTTTAAGTATGGCTGTCTTCCTCCTGGCTTTGGTTGCTGCCTTGTTGATATGCTTTCTCCTCCGAGGTACGTTGACCTGTTTTTCAATGTCGGAAATGTTGTTAACTCTTTTACTATCGTACATTTGTCGGGTCCTTCAAAGACTATAAACTTGCCAAACCCCCCCCCCCCCCCAATCGTTGAACACATTTAACCCCCCCCCCGTCCCCCACCATTGAACACATTTCAACCATCCCCCCACCCCATCTTGTCAACGTTTTTACATTCAGCATCAACTCTTTCACCGTTGGACACCTTTCAAAATATTGCACTGACGTAAAATTGTTAGGACTTTCACTATCAATCTGCACCTTTGAGATACCTTATATCACACACAGTACTTCTTAAATCTGTGACTTGTCTTGACAAGCAGGTCACTGAAGTTCATTAATAATTGGTCCACTGTCCTTAGGACATATCAGGTCACTCTATATCTTTCTCCTTTGGGACACCTCAAGTAGTCCAATGAATGGCACACGTCTTTCACGTGCTGCCCCTGACGAGTCAGACACAGAAGACCTTTGGAAAACAAAAGGCGACTTTTAGAAAATACAAGACGACGTTAAAAAACACAAAGCCACTTAAAAAAAAAAACATAAGGCGACTTTTAGGAATCACACGACGATTTTTAGAAAACATAAGACGATTTTATTAAAACACAAGGTAAATTTTAGAAAACACAAGGCTACTTTTAGGAAACAACAGCAACTCTTACAAAACACAGGGCGACTGTTCAAACACAAGAAGATTTTTACAAAACACAACTCGACCTAGTCGCCACATTGTCACTCTTTTACTGACTTATTTTGTTTTACTGGTTATGTCAAGTTTCTTCAGAGCAACCCCACTATCATTTACATACTTTAAATC